ACCTGACCGCCAAAATAGCAACACCAAAAGGGAGGAACATGTCAAAAGAAAGGACAATAGTCTTTCATCCATTTTTCCAGGTCGGGACACCGCGTTGAGTGCCACGATGTTCATGTCAAAGGGCAATGCCAAAGCAGTTCTCCAAGAGGCTTCACAGGCGCTGGTGCATGCGCCCACAGTCACCACCTCACGCGCTGTGAGGAAAGGTACATCTCCGAATGAACCTAGCTCCTCTTCTCCTCTGAGCTCTTCGTTTTGGACCACCCAAAAACATTTCCAAATCCGACTTCTCCAGATTGAACCTCAAAGCTAACTTCTTCCGTTCTCTCTGTGGCTGTGGGCTCCTCAAGTCGTTGCGAGGCACCGTCGGCTCCAAAGAGTTCTCCCAAATCTTCTGCAAAAAGCCGAGTGCCTCGCGACAGACCAGACCAGACCAGCTAAGAAGCTACGCATCTACCTCTTTCCGCCCGAAGAGCGACATTCGGCGTCAACACACTGAAACGACGCAGCTCGCAGCTCGAAGGTCGCTGCGTCGAAGAGCGACATTCGATGAGACGCTTACAGCTTCTTCGCTCCGTTCGTAGCTTCGTGCTTCTTGTTACTAGTAACAAGTGCCACGCTAGTAGTAAGAGGTGCCTTACTAGTAGTAACAAGAAGCTACTAGGAACAATAAGGCACTTGTTACTAGCAGCGATGCACTTGTTCCTAATAGCTTCTTGTTACTACTAGTAAGGCCAGGAGCGCCCCGTTCGTAGCGTCCGACCGCTCCGTTCGTGGCTTCTTGTTCGGTTTTGCTTTAAACACCAGAGTGGCCTCGGTCCATTGATTGCCCCTCTCGCAGGCCGTGATGGCGACATTGCACGCCACCCTGGGTGTGTCAAGGACGGAGCCCTCCGAAGGCGTGCCTGCCTTGCCTTGCCTTGTGTAAGAATGGTTTCTTCGTTCGTCATCTTCCGACACTGGAACCATGGGCCAAGGCACACGCTCTGCTCCAAGTTTTGAACCTCTAAGTTGGACCACAGCTGCTCAGCGGTCCTCCAAAGCCCAACTCTGGCCACTGCATTCATCGTGGAGCTGTACCTGGGGGTGTGGAACGCAGGAGCCACAAGAATGGTTGCTTCTTTCATCCAAGGATGCTACTAGGAACAAAGGGCATCGCTACTAGGAGCAAGGACGCTACTAGGGGATCCTGGCCTTACTACTACGAGCAAGGATGCTACTAGGAACATCCAACTGAGTCCAACTCGTCTTTCTTTGGCCGAGGCACGTGACGTCGTTTCCTTCCAAGTGGACCGACGGCAGGTCTTCAAACTGCTGCAGCGCCTGAAGCCATTCACCGGCCGAGCCCAAAGCTGCCAGAGCCGCGTTCTGGGAAATGAGATCCGCTTCGTATCGCATCTCCGACATGAGCCTCGCTGGGGCCAAGTGGTAAAAGCCGGGGAAATCCACCAAGTTGAATGGCCTGGATTCGCCGTACACAGAAAAACAAGAAAGGGTTCTCCGCTTGGAGGAAATGGGTTGGACCGTCTACATCTGGAGGTGGACAGCCGAACCTGACAGCCAAACCAAGCTGCTGGAGCAAAGCCAAGGCGTTGGGCCACTGCTGAGCTTTCTCGCAGGAACTGATGGCAGCATTGAAGACCACTGTGTCCTGATCATGTTTGCCAGGAGCAAGGACGCTACTAGGGGCTGCGATTTCTCGACGCAATTGGACTTCGGACGGCAACATAGATCGTCTCAGTTAGCTTTGGAACAGGAACGGTTGAACATCCCTTTGGAACAGTTAGGTGACTGATCCCTGCCAAGATGCCGACTGCAAGCTTTGATGCAGCATGTGGTGCAAGCAAAGTAACGCTTGTTGCCATTGGCTGGATTTGGCGCAAACATTGGCCAACACGCCATACCTGAGCGTTCGGCAAAAAGAACATGCTGTGGATCAACTGGGATGCATGAATATGCATGAGCATCACCCACAAACAAAAGAACTTTCTTCGAAAGCATGCGCAACGCCTCCTTGCGCATCGACCGCCCTCGGCATCTCGGACTGGCCCTTCGATCGGCAGCCGGGCCACACGAAGGCGTCCAGTCGCAGTGAGGCGCCGTCCTCGAAGAGCTGAAGCGCCGTCCGCCAGTCGGCGCGCTGAATCTCCTGCTCGTTGAGGTGAAGGAGTCGAGCAACAAGTGCTCCGTGTTTTCTTCGTTTGGCCACTCTTTTGGGCAGAAAACCTGGGCTTCAACCTGGAGATGTCTGCTTTCTGCTTTCTGCTTGGCTGGCCAGACTTACTTAGATCACTTTCCTACACACCCCCAAAGAAATTCAATTCCTTGGTGAGTGCCACCACTTGCCGCCGCTCGTGTTCGTCGAATCCATGCATCCGCGCATGGCGACGGCAGTAGCGCGATGCCGAACCCTTGAGCGCATCGGTGAAACCGCCGGTACTGACGTAAGTCTACCCCGGTTCAGTCGAAGAAAGGATGTGTGATGTGTATTGGTGTACCACTTGGTGTACCACCGCTGTACCACTCCAACATCTTCTGGCCACTGCCATGCATGAGCCGAAACAACTGCTCTGCGAAACGCTGGGCGACATGTGCAGTGACCTGCTGTTGAGCAAACACCTGCCGGAGCTCTGAACAGAACACGCACAAGAAGGGAACTCAACTAATTACCCACTGGTTCTGGGAAGCAAATCATTAGACATGGGAGCTACCCTGAGCGTCTTTACTAGCTAGGTGCGAACTTCTCCCCTACTGAATCAAGTAGGCGTGGACGAAAAAGATAAATTAACTACAGCCAAACCTTTAGACCCTTTCTTTGTTTCTTTAGCGATCAACTTCTTGTTGATCCTCGGTTTTGGGATCCTCTGATCAACCATTCTTTCTTTTCTTCCTGTCGGTCTCGTCTGCAGCAATTTCCGCCTCCACCGCGGCTTGGGTCAATGCCACCTGGAAGCGCTCCAGAAGAACCTGCCGCACCGAGGTCGTCAGCATCACGATGTCGTCAACTGAGGAAAACATCGACCACAAGGAAGAAGTCAACACCGTATTTCGGGAATCGGAAATCAACTCTTCTGCAACTGTTGGACATGTACTGGAATACCTCTACGAAGCACTTCCTGTGTTGGACATGTGGGGGAATCTGGGCTAAGAATATCGGAAAGAAAGGACGGAAATCAAAAGGTCCTACACAAAAAAGAAGGGACAACAACCGGTGGCACAAGGCGCACGGAATGAAGGCAACATATGTTGAATTCGGAGTAGCCACTAGCAGCTCCTTGCTACTAGTAGTAAGAGTGCTCCTAGTAGCGATGCCAGGAGCCCCTAGCATCCTTGCTCCTAGTGGTCAGGCCAGCACTAGTAGCTTCTTGCTACTAGTAGTAGTAGTAGTGGCCTCCACCCTACATAGCGATGGCCTCCACCCGGTCGTAGCTTGTTCCCATCGCCTCAAAGTTGGCAGCACCACTGTGGGGCGCCAGGTCCACCACTGCCAGTGCGGAGACCTCCAACCCGTGGAGGGACTTCCGCACCTGACAACGGTGTTCACCCATCGGTCGCGCGAGAGGGTCACCGGTCGAGTGGGTCGGCCACCGGGAAAAGCCCACACCACCGACCACAAACGATGAGTTAGTAATTACAATTAAAAATAAACTCTTTTTGTTACTAGTAGTAAGGCACTTGTTTCTAATAGCTTTTTGTTACTACTAGTAACGCACTTGTTACTACTAGCGTGGCACTTGTTACTACTGAGTTAGTTGGTTTTAGTTCGTTTTCCGCGTCGGAAATGGCTTCGACTGGTCCCTTCCTGACTGGTCACATCCGTCTTGGCACCGACGGAGACGAAACGTACTGCTGCGCCTCTTGGGCGGTGCGCTCGGCCAAAGGCCCTTCACCAGGTTCATTCACCAGAAGCCACTGACCTGAGCAACATGACCCGAGTCATCTACAGACTGAGCATCTGGCAAGGTCACCTGCGCTTCGACCGAATTTCATCATGCTCCGGTCCAAGCAGCTTCGACAGGGTCCCTCCAAGAACGCCTTGAGGTTGATCGACGCAGCGGCAAGGCCTGAGATCGAAGCCAGGGTGTTCCGAAGCGAAGAAGAAGAACGCCACGCCCGAACACGAGCTATCCACGGATTTGTTTGGCTTGGAGAGCCTTGGATGCCGAGTCCGAATCCTTGCCTTGGGCTCCTCTTTCTTGGCATGAATGACGCATTCAATGTTTGCGGCATGGATTTCACTGGAAAAAACACCGTCAGACCCCGAACAAACGGACTTTGGGGCCTCTTCTTTCATTAAGGATGACAAGTCGGACAAGGAGTCTGTGTGCCGGGCTCTCGCTCAAATACAGGAGTCTGTGCAAGTGGATCCGGACTCCTGTGACCGCCTTTGAACCAAATGCACTTCCCTGCCTCGAAAGGTGCCAGGGCGTGGCCAAAGGAAGCTCCTACAAGGGGGGGCGGCAATGGAGGTAGAGACGAAGAAGCTCTGTATGTCGCTATCCCTTTAAACCCAGCTTTGGCATTTCTGGTCCAACTCACCGAGCAGAATTCCATTGCACAACTTGATCTTGACTAGTTGGGTTCGGTCGGGCATCGCTACGGCCTCGGAGTACCCGTGGCGCCTCCTTCGAGCGAAGAAGCCGAAGGCCATGGCGGCCGCCATCGGAAGAGTCGTCCAGTCCAAAGCGGGAAGAGGAATCGGAACATTAGGCCGGAAGTTGCTCTTTTCAGCACAAATACCGAAAAAGAAACACAACAAATATGATACACAAAAAACCCTTATCGTATAAATGGTTGTTTGTTTGAAAAGATCCGTTCTTTCTTCGTTTCTTTGACCTGAGGAAGTTCTTGACGGGTTGGAATGTACTAAAAGAGCACTCCGTTTCCGGAAACGGTACTCTACGCGTCGCTCGGAACAAGAAGTTGGGCGTTGGAAGCAAACAGCCGACCCTTCTCGGCGGCCCCGACTGGGCAAACATCGCCATGAACATGATAGCAATTACTAGGGGCAAGGATGCTACTAGGGGCTCCTGGCCATACTACGGGGAAACAAGAAGCTACTTTAGGGCTCCTGGCCTCGCTACTAGGAGCAAGGACGCTACTAGGAGCAAAGGGCATTTCTACTAGGAGCGGCATCGCTACTGTTACTATAGGGGCTCTTGTGACTCTTGTGTGTCACATGATCACTCGCGCCGCACCCGCTCCCGACCTTTTGAATCTGCACATCGAATTCGGGAAAAGTGGATTTGACTAGAGGACTCTTTGAATCAGACTATGTATCAGACTATTGTTCCAAGTATTTGGCCAGGTGTCCAATGCACAACTCGATCTTTTAGATCTTGAGTATGCTTTGTTGGCTCACTGCCCGCTCAATGGGCAGCTCCAGATCTAAATCTAAGTCGACACGTTCATGGAGGAAGTTTGCCACATGATGTGTACTCAGAATAAGGCTCATTAAGAGCGTATTGGCTTGGTAGGTGTTCTGAACGCCATACCAATAAGAATACGAGGTGAGACACAAAGAGAGGAACGCCAGAGAGCCCCGCGCTTCTGCAAAAACCTCCATCAAATCCTTCCGCAGCATGCCGTAACGCAACGAGTCCTGAAGGGCCTCGTGAGATGGGCCGCAAAGCAGCAGTTGGAAGACTGACCTCATGGACTTCCTTTGTTACACATAGCTTCTTGTTACTAGTGGTAAGAATGCTCCTAGTAGCGATGCCAGGAGCCCCTAGTAGCTTCTTGCTCCTAGTAGCGATGCCCTTTG